CCCAGTGGCGATGGGGCTTACACGGGCACCCTGCCCTCTGCCCTCAATCCTGAAGAACTCCTTGAGTGTAGGGTAAAGGTGAAGAGTTATAATCCTTATATTTAGTAAACTGTAATCGATGGGTGAAATAATTACTTAACAGATTGGTGAGCTCCGGCTGAGTACCCTTCTCAGAGAGAGTGTGAAGAAGTTTGGCTCTGTGAACACAATTAAAGGCATCACTATAATCAAGGAAACATACACGAACAGCTTTACATTTTCTGTCCAAGGAAGAAGAAACAATGAATAAGGGATGCCAACGCACCAGTGGTTGACCTGGAACTGCAATAGGTAAACTGATTGGGATCAGATGCATTCAGCTGTAGTAAAATCTTTTCCAACACTTTCAAATCAACAGAAGTGCAAGCAATTGGGCGAAATTTGGAGGGTCCCTTTTTGGGTACTGGTGTGATAGAAGCCACTTTCCAGCAGTCCGCAATGCAATCTTGAGTAAAACACATGTTGAGTAGGTCGGTGAAAACAAGGGAAAGGGAAACTGCACACTCTTTGAGAACAACAGGTGGCAGTCCATCGAAACCGCGATTGTGATCGTCCACGTTGACAGCTGGCAGATTCTCATTCGTTTTGAGAATGCAGGACTGAAACAACATTTTCTATGTATCGCCACGACTCTTGTTAGCCAAAAGTGCGCGTACATAAGCGGCGTTGAATCTCCGCAGTTCCGCCTTGATTGCTTTCGAATGGCCGCTCACCAAAGAGTGCTTTTTCGCTTTGAAAGTTTGTTCTTTTTTCCGACGTAATCGTTCAAGTGTAGGGGACGAAAAACGGTCTGACCGTAAGTATAAAGTTTCCCACGGGCAGTATGTATCATAACAGAACTTCAAATATTGAGTCAGGATATCACGAAATACAGAGGGGCCATTATGTACAAATAGCGAGAAATCTGTCTGATCTAATATATCCCGCGATCTGCCATCCAGCTCAATGTTTCCTAGGAAAGGTTTTCAGATTTGCATAAATTTTCTTCTCACTGTTATGAAGCAACTTACCAGAGGGAAGTGAAATCCAGTGGCCAGAAATTGGAAGTTGCTTCATGTACGCAGCAAAGTATGTCACAGAACTTAGGGTGACCATTGTAACACAACGTTTCTATGGTAGCAAAGGACGTGTATACCATATAAAGTACGGTGAGGAGTGGGTACGTAGTTTGGAGTCCGACGATGCAACGGACCGCGTGGCCTAATTCAAAAGTTCCTTTAAATGGGACTCAGTCAATAGAAAGTATATCACGAGTTTTGCCTATGGAAATAGGAAGGAAGCTCGTCACCTCACGCGTCGTTCAATAACGGAACAAGGACAAGGCCAATTAGCGTGCGCCTGTAATACCGTAGGCCAAACGACAATGCAACTGTCAAAGTACACCATCTATGTCGCATACGAAGGAGTGGGGCGGTTTATAGCGACACTATTGCTCCCTCGGTTAAGACGCTGGACACTGGATCGATAGCTTCTTGACAATTGATTTCGCCTGTAAAACTTCCATTCTATCTGAGCAGAGTCTATTCGGACCTAAGTTGTGCATCAAACGGAAACTGATTCAAGCTATCCTGATCCGTTCACTCTGAGAGGCCAACTCGTACGGAACAGGTGCTTTCACGCTGCGAGGATTTCTTTCTGGCAAACTATTCCTCTGTGCCCCCTTCATCGCCTTCCCCATTAGACTGGATGGTGGTAGCACAGTAGTTCAATCGTTGTCACCAGCTTGGGTTGGATCCTGTGGTCCGAGGTTCGAACCTCGCTATCGCCACCCCACTGTGGTGGTAAACATCTTAGCTGTCACTCGATTCAATACCACGTCTGACCTATTGAGGCCTTAGGTGTTTCGTCACTCGGGACTTAGGTTGCCGGATACGATCAGTGACTATGGGATT